ATAAAAAGTTGTAAAAAACACGTTTTCCAATTATTCAGCGAGAATCTTTAGGAAATTTATTACTGGACTTCATAAACTCAAATATTGAGTTGATAGTAGTAGATAATGAATGGGTCTAACAAACATAATTGAAAAATCAGTTTACAAAATACATATAAAAGCTCATTCAAAATATACTTTGAAACTCAATTATAACCGACCGCAGAGAAACTTCAGTTAGAATGTGGTAGATTCAAGAAATTTGAAAGCTGTGATATTTAGAAAAAGCTTTTCCTATCGTACCTAATGAAATAAAACCTTATAATCTACTTTGTAATAAATTCGCTAAATCCTCATAAAGTGCTGCAATAGTTACTAAGAATATCTTAAAAATTGTGACGCAAATCCTGTGATCGCATCTAAAAACAGTTTAAATAAAGTTTAAAAGTAAGTAATAGTCTAATTACTGCATGCAATAAGTATGTAAGTGTAAAAAATGGGGCTATGAAAAATATTGCGGTTGGCCTTAAGCGCTTCTCATTTGCTCCGAACCAAAATCAAAGACTATAACTGAAAAAGTGAAATTTTTCGTCCAAGATTACTGGTTTTGATTACCAAATAAAACCACAACTCTTCTGGACAGGTCAATTTACGACTATGCGAATTTGATGTAACCGAAACGTAACTTTTGCGCTTCTTTTAATAATTATGATAATATCGCATACATTCGAGGATTCAGAACTTTCTTCGGCCACCTGTCACGGTTTGCACAAGTGACATATCTGTGAGTTTCGGCCACATGTTTCGACTAGTGAAATTCCACCGTGATATAAAACGAAAGTACAAATACCTAGTTTTGACATGAATTGAACGCAACGTTTGAGTAATTATCAGTTTATGAATGGTTAATTGGTTGATGGTAATTTTGAAACCTTTATTAACTTTTTAAAATATTTTATTCTCTCTTACCCTTCGAAGCAACTTTCTATAGTTATTTTTAAAAAATTACATGCAAATGTTAATCGTCACAATCGGTCAATTTGCATAATGTAAAATTGCATCCCAATTTACGAAATTCACAGAAAATCTATCAAATTTCCGTGAAATTATTATAATTTGTTTAAATATAGTAATAAATAACAAAACGTAAAAAATTGCAAAAAATTTAAAACTCGTCAAAATATGAAAATCTTTCTGTTGTGTTTCACTTTATCTTAATATCAGCAAACATGTCCTCAACGACTTCAAATTGTTCAATTTCGTATTTTATTTCTTACAACCACTTTCATCAATACACACATATATCAATTGAACGGTAGAACCTATAATATCTTGAACTTGAACTTTCCTCCTCATTCGCGAATTTACATTTCCAACGGAACACATCGAATGCTTCCTTCATACTCAATTCAATTATTATAGCTGTATGATAATTTACATTTAATCCAAATCTATAAAATATAGTACGAAGCAGAATTATCGCTCAAATTACAGTAGGTAAGTCAATCACTTTGAGTCCAGTGGCCCAATTATTCTAGTACTACCAGCCACATTTCATTCAAATTGAATTTGAATGTATACCTACGATTTAAATAATTTCACAGTTCAGTTGATAAACGCTAAATATTTGGACTTTTTTCACGAACAGTTACTTATTTATTATGAAGTGAAACGAATAATTATTGATGTGGACACTTGAAAGTTAATGAGTCGCAACTTTTTCTACGGGAGAAAAATCGGTAACAAATAATGCTCTTTTGAATATTTCAGCGTATGAGTTGTCAAGTTTTGTAAAAGGCTAATTAATTTATTTCGCTTTGTTCATTAAAGAAATAAACTTTGCATTGAATTCAGCTCGTCTAACGTCTTATATGGACAATGAAGAGAAATGGCAACATTATTTTGCTTGACATAGCTAGTTACCTTCGCAGGAATAATTGCGCCAGGCAAACATCCGTCTAAACATTTATTTATGTGCTAAACACTTGACCGATTTCGATTCTTGTTGCAATTTTCAATCAAGGAAGAGACCAACGAAAATGGATTAAAAAGTTAATTAGCAAACTCACAATCGACATACTTTTATTTCGTAGAATATAAAATTGAAATTAATTGTCGCGTACTCAGCATTTACATAATCTCCAATAAACCTTAACAGTTATTTAAGCGTAAAATCGACATAATAAGGGCAATTAAAATTAAGTTATTGTTTACTTCTATAATGATTTATAATGATAATGATTTTCTTTAGTTTTGCATTGAAAATTGAATTATTGCTGTGGCTTTGTTACAGGTGACAAATAAAGTCAACTAACAAGTTATCGTTTAAGCAACTCTGATGGATTAAATTGCAAATCCGTTGCCTGATTTGATTTAATAAAGCATTAATTAATAAAATTACTTTAAAATATACTGTGCGGGGATAAAATCGGGATAAAAGTCTTAAAAATGCAGTAACTCAAAACCAAAGCATGTGAACGTTTAAACGCAACTGCTAAGAAAGCGTGCATTTCTATACAATGTTGGCATCTTAATTACGTATTGTCTTGGCGTGCTCAGCAACATAAGAACAAAATTATCAGATTTAAAAAATGAGACTCATCTAAAGGTGATTAAGATTATAAAGGCAGGCAAAAAGCGTACTTCAGTTTTAACATTAAGTTGAGAAATAGTGCAAATAAAAAACAAACTGTTTTATAAATAATGTGTGTTCCATAAATTATTATTTAGCCTTCCAGTTTAATACTTTTTAATTTGATTATGATAATTTACAATTTTAACACCAATTTCACAATGATTAAAGTGTTCCAACAAATGTTCGAATTTGTTACAATTCTAACTCAATGACTTTTTTGGCTTTTAAAACAAAATAATTTAACAAACTCCCAAACTATTCATTATAGAAGATTGATAAAATTTAATAGATATGTAAATATAAGGTTTTGCCAAATTTCGCATATGCTAAATCACGCGGCACATTTTCTGGAGGAAGCGTATATGAGGTTTTATGTAACATTTGTTTAGATATATTAAAAAATAAACGTCGCTTTTCAAAAAAATCTAAACTCTTCCTATCTGATCAACTTAAGTCACCAACATAAAAAAACATGAGCTTGAATCAATATTTTAGACAATTTTTAAGGCAAGTAATTGATTTATATGCTATTTTTTATTACAACCCCAATAGTAAATTTACTAATTTATATAAAAATATACTTGCTGAAAAGTATTGACATTTTTTGCAGTGTCACTGCTTTTAAAGTGTTTGATTGAAGAGTTTAACGCGTACTTAACGGAAGATTTTTAGAGCAACTAGAATTTATCACCAGCAACTAAAAGTAAAGATTAACTCGTTAATATCCGAGAGGGGAACGTAGGCATCAACATGTGAGAATTTTTGGATTTATTAACATTAAATTAGTGAATTGATTTGTTGCAGATGAAGTAATATACAGAACATATTTTAAAAATCATTCCTAAATTACAGAAAAATGAATATAATAAACCAAATAGGTCGATACAAATGTTAATTTAAAATTAAATTTGATTGTAAAACATGTTCAATTTATACTTAAATAACCAGCTATAAATCAGTTACTTTCACCAGAAAAATTGTGGGGATTTAAAAGTATGAGCTCGCTAATTATGAACAAAGGTCTGTTTTGGCTGGCAGTGGCAAGGTAAAAAATCGATGGCAAAAGTTGGATACAAAATAAGCAAAATTTAAGGTTTCTATAACATTCTATAAAGTTTAATTGCAATTCTAACAAAATGCCTTATAAAATAATCACATACACCATTAACATTAACATAAAAAAATATTAATAGGACTACAAATTTTAATACTTTCAGTTTGATTTATTTTTTAATTAAAGAGAAATCCATTTTTATTTCAATACTTTACTTACTAGAAATAACTAGTGTTTTATTACTTACAATATTTCTACGAAACTCTGCCGTATAATTTGTAACTACTGAATGGAATGTAGAGGTTCATTCATTATTCATTCATTATGCATAAGCATGTGAAATATAGGAAGCTGTTGTATTTGGAAATGTGCTTTTAATTGAATTAATATGCTTTCAATGGAACTACAAAGAGTTTATTACAGGGTGTTTGAAAATGGGCGTTCTTTAACTGAGGGATTTAGAGGCTCTCTAGAAAGTAGATATTTTTTCATTTACTTTGGTTAAAACTCACATTTTCAATAAGCTGGGTCTTAAATAAGGCAACAATAGTTTCAATATTCACATATGATAGCAGAAGTTGAAAATAATTAACCAGATATCATTCAGAGTTGACAATTGTATCCAAATGAAAATTATCTCTTCAGACTTCAAACAAAATTCTGAATCTGAATAGCAAAATTTGCCAGAAAGGAATATGGATGTCTTACTTACCGTTTCCAAAATTAACAAAGTTTGCCATTTTGTTAAGCATATTCGTATGACTATGTATTATCTTATCAAATGCTTACCGGGACTTAAATTCCACATCGTAAGTAATATTATACACTTGGAAAATTTGGAAAAATTCCTCATATTAGACAGTTTGAACGCACTTCGGACTTAAGCCAAAAATTTAACTTGCAGGCAATGGGTGACTTTTCTCATAAAATAATTACTGTAGGTTCTATTTCAAGCAACACTCCCAAAAGTATAAAAGCTCACTTTTTAATGATGATTTTGGAGCTATTTTTCTGCGGGACATTCCAATGTGTAACTTTCTTTGCTGTGGAATGTATATCAATATTTGTATTCTATCAACACGATGGTTAATAACAAAGTTCAAATTGAACATTTGATTGTTAAGACAAATTAAAATAGATGTTGGCCTTTTTTAAGGCCCAACGCAATATTGAATAACCCTTTAAAATATTTTTTTCAATCTCAAATAAACTAACCCAAAAAATAGTAAATTTTCATGAATCCCGAATGTTGATGGACATTTAAATCATTCGATATAGATATAGAGTAATCATTGAGTTGTGAAAGAGTAAAAATATTTGCTAATTAGTTACCACCAAAAACCGCATGATCCATACACGAAAAAATGATTTCCAAAAAATAATCCAAGTAAAAGAGGCACTGTTGAACACACGTAAAATCAAAGATTCGTATCGGAAAATTCGCACTAAACTGACGAGCAGCACCAAACCATGAGAAAGCTTTGAATTGGCTTTTCTTTGACACTTACGAATCTCATGATGTTGAGCGCCTACTTCTACGGGTGCACTAGGTGGGTGAACTGCTGCAGACAGATGCGGGGCAAATTCGTGGAGGAGAGTTATATATATTGAAATGCAGCCTCGTATTCGAGGCCAATCTACGTCGAGCTTCACGCGACGACGTCCAAGACGCCGGAAGAATAACGTACCGGATCACGGTGAAGGTCGCCACCACGTGCGACCAGTAGGTGGTACTGTTGATGTTGATGGGGGTCATGATGAGCTTCCGCACAGAACTGGGTCAGTCTCAATCAAAATCTCATTTACGCATGGAAGTGTCGATGTAAATCGTATCGTAAATCGTAACTGCCTTAAGTGCCCGATTGTTCATAAGTATTGGGTCGAATTCATTAGTGTTCCTGTTCCTTCCTATTTTTTTTCTCATATCGCCTTTGCCTACGTACTAATTTTTACATTGACAGAAAAAGTACAAATTTTACAAAATCACATTCTAACTTTAGTCTTCACTGGAGTCATTGTGTGTAAAATATCAAAAAAGTTTCCGTTTCACTATTGCCACAAAACTACTAAGCTCTAAAGAAGAAAAGAGCAGCCGTTTCTATAAATTCCAAAATTACTTGAACAAGAAGCAGTGAGGAATAAACAATCTCACCACAGCCCCTTCTTCTGAAAAAAAAAATTGTTGTGTGCTGCTACACGATTCTACTCATGAAAATATTTTTTAAACTAAAAATTTTCCAATTATTTATATCAAAATAACTGCCCCCTTGCACTAGTTCCGATTTTGCTTTCTAATCATATCTCAACACAAAAAAATTTAGGGTTATAAGAGAAATTGTAGAGAACCAATGACTTGGACAACCAGACTTCAACCCCCATGATTTTTGTCTCTCAGAAGGTGGTGTGCAAGAATCATTTTTCGGAAAAACTTCTTTGCACATTGAAAACACATTTGCATAAATAAACTCGATTCGTCCTATTTGAAACACAGGTTCAGTATCTTTACAGAAAAATCTCGAACTTTAAATAAGCTGACGCCAACTATTATCAGTATTTCATATAACTACATAAAAAAACCGCAGGTGTAAGTAAGTGCTTTCTTTACATCACTAGGAAGTTAATTAGCACTGATTGGTTTGTTTTTACATATAGATCATCAAAAAGCAAGTCTGCGAGTTTTTGTCAACGTATAGAATAATTCTTCGAAAAAATGCAAAAAGCTTTCCGACTCCCAATTCCATTCAATTCTTTGAAGTTTATCAATGAAAATCCGAAAATCTGGTCGAGTTTTTTAAGACCTCGCATAATATACAACGTGTCCCATTAGCACAAATTACTTTCAATTGGTGTCTTTATTGTGCGATGCGATTTTGCACAAATTTTAATATTCTTTCCAAAAGATATTTTGAAAATTAATTTCTGATAAACAGTTAGAGATAGCAACCTGATTCTTTCGTCGGCTGTTCGAAGAAGCAGTGGACTTTGTTTTCTTACTTTAATGTATCATTAGCTGCTCAGATGTATTTTTCTTCAATGTCCCTTCCATTGACTAAACCATTTTTGACTTATTTTATTTTGCGTTTTTTGATAAAAATTAGTTTTATCTTCGTAACATATTTTTCGACCACTATGTAAATTTGGAATAAAAAATTCGCATTTACAAATAACAATTGACGCTTTGAGCTCTTTTCCCAGTCAACAGTATGCTTAATTTTAAATGAATATAGATAGACTTTACGAGTACCTACTTCTCACTGTATATACTGAGTAATTCAGAAATGGCCTCATATCTTTCGAGCTATTGTGGAAATATTTAAGGAAAATAAAAATATTTAAAAATAGTATGTATTTTACGAAAATTCTAAATATAGAAAAATTAAATCATAAAATTCCATGTAAACCTACAAATAACCTATTTTTCTCATGAAAATTACTTATTTTCCTACTACTTTATGCGCAAATCAACAAAGGAAAAAGATAAAACAGCAAATATAAAAACGATTATTTTATTGAAAAAAATTGAAATTGTTGATAAATATAAAAAATTTAAATATTTAGGTTTTCAGCTGAATTTCCAAAGCAATAAATAGCTCCACTTCAATGCGTTCTTTTATTACACGAGTTTGATAACAAAAATCCAGAATTAATTCCAAAAGGGCCCAAATTTACTCTATAATCCCATTTCAGAACATCAGTTTTTATTGCTTATAAGAATTCTTAGCTGTGACGTTAGAGAAAAGACTTCTAATGAAAACAGTTGATAAATTGGCATAGAAGTGTTGGCTTGGCTCTATAACTAGTGCATGATACGAAGTTGCTGCATATCTTCGTCATAAAGAAAAATTTCGTAAATACAATAGATCTGTATGTCCAAATTACGAATAACTAAAGTAATTACAGTTAACAAAGTGGTAAGCCTCAAAATAAATGGGTTTAACTATTATAAAAACATATTTGGACTGGAATTGGACACTGGAAATCAAAACTTGTAGGAGCCAAAGTGAAAGCTGCCTGACTTTTTTTTAAATTCTTTATTTTAAATTTATTTATGAATAGTTTGTGAACAATGTATGGTCTAGTTTCTTTTTCTTCTTCAGTATGTATTACAGACAAAAATATTTTTCATATTGACTGTTACTTTCCATAATCAGTGATTCAGTTGTCTCAAGAAACCATTTGTGTGCTCTTTTGAAGCTCAATCTCGAAAATATAAATTTTCTATTGTTTTCTAGATTTTTCTAACTAATAACTGACTCTTGGTACTAACCAACTGTCTGATCAAGCATTTCAATTTTCTTCGATCTATCAGAATTTAATTCATTTTGTACTTAATTAAATTAAATGTAAAATATTTTTGAAAATATAGCTGACAGTTCCTGCTTTAGCAGAATTTTAATTAGAATTTAATGTTACCATAATTTCCACCGAATAATTGGGCATTTTACATAATTGCGACTGAAGGCCAGTGAGTTTTTAGATCATGTGGGCAACTACTCCATCAGTAATAATATATATTCAGACAAAATTTTAACTAAAATAAAAAACGTATTTTTAAGGTACTTTATCCAACTGTTTGGATTATAGAATCATGTTTAGCCGGTACAGATTCCATGGGAAAATGGATTTAAATCTACCAATAGTACTTTACTATTTTTGTTCATTCACACAAACCCCAACTGGTTATTTTTTTTAACAAATTAAGAAATGCATTTTTTTGTACTTTCTCCATTTGTTTCAACTAGTTACGTCAAGGAACAGAAACGATTTTCAAATGAATGGAACACTGATTTCAATTGCGAATTGAACGGTTCAATTGCAACGTAACAAAAAGTGATGTCACAGAAAAAATTATTTTAAGCTTGCACAAAACCAACGTTATTAAAACTTTGACCTTTCAAAATTGACTTACTGCATCGTTAGGTAATCGATAATTAAATCAGTAGGTAGCTTAAACTCAGTGATCCTCATCTTAACGGTATATTTACGTAAATAATAAAAACAGTCTAATTTAAGTAATATTTACGGAGCATTTACTATCGAAGTCAATGTTAAGTCGAAAGGTTGCACAATCGATCAGAAAAATTCACCCTTTTAATCGATTCAATTTGTGGTCACGCTATCATAAATAGATCTCCTCAAGATGTAAATTAGGTACTACTGTTCAGGCAAATTATTATATCCTTAATTGGAACCTTTTTTGTGGTTTGCATTGTTGGAGTTTATCGAAATTATGAATTAATCACATCTAATGTAGAAATAAGACTTTTGGCACGTAGCTCTTTAATTGTGGTTTAATTTTAAATTTATTATGGGGTTTCAGAATTACTTAAATTAAGCGGCTTTAAGTAGGTTACAACTCTTCAGATGAAGAATTTATCGTAAAGACATCATTAACGCTTTTAACTGGTTTTGCTAGATTTAACTAATAATAACTCCTGTTATTTAGCAAAACTATTTTACTATTCAGATGTTTGGCAATCAATGTTGTTTAAGCAAAGAAAGTTTTACATGAAAATTGCAGGGACACACGGTTGTTAAGGGACCTAAGGGTTAAACTTAGAGTGTAATTTATTTTGCAAACTATAATAGCATTCACGCCTAGTGTATTGTCTTAAGTAAAGAAGTAATATTGTATATTTGAAAATATCACCTGGTTTTATACAAAAAATTAAAATATTCATTTCGCAGAGCTCAAAAACAGTTGGTGAATAAAAAATCATTACCATCAAGAAATTATTTTTATACAAAAGCGGGCGAATTCAAAATGTAGTTAAATCTAAGTTAGTTGCAGCTTCGTCTTTTTCAATATAAATAATTTCGCTCATTTAAATTTGAAGAATACGGAAGATTTTATTCAATCACGATAAGGTAGAATTGAGTTTCAATTTGTTTCAAAATTTGCTATTGTGTTGCAAATCGATCAAGAATCAATAATTAATTTTTCTCGGGTTACGTCCAACTTTTAGGAATTATCTTTTACTAATCAAGACTGTGACTCACGACAATTATAGCATATTAAAGCACAAGTTTCATAAGGCAACACATTATCGCACGATTCCAGGGTTGCAAACGGTGAATGCATGAAACGCTGTTGAAATACATATTTTTTCCAATCAAGCTAATTTTGAAATAAAAAGTTACATCTATAAAGCGTTAAGACACCCGTGTAATTTTTAAACACCTAATAAAACATACAAACTACAATATTTCTACAAAATACAATAAACAACTAATTAACATATTTTATATTTTGGATAAAAAAATAAGTGAATTTGTAATGACGTATTTTTATTCTTTTAATTGTATTATGCAATATTATAATTATTATCTTACGAACATGCGCAGTTTCGATTCACAAAACATCAATTTTATTGTATGTTTATTGCATCGCATAAGATTAGATTCAAACTGTTTTATTTTTTATTGGTTTTAATTTTATTTCCGGCACCATTTTTTACGCTTCTGACTACCTAGCAATAGA